ATAAACTACAGGCCTGTCTCTCTCCTCCCGTTCCTGTCTAAATCACTTGAACGCGCTGTCTTTAAACAACTCTCCTGTTATCTCAATCAGAACAACCTTCTGGATCCGCACCAGTCTGGTTTCAAGGCAGGTCACTCCACAGAAACTGCTCTCATTGCTGTCACGGAGGAACTGCACACTGCCAAAACTGCATCCCTCTCCTCTGTCATCATCCTGTTGGACCTGTCTGCTGCATTCGACACGGTGAATCATCAGATCCTCCTTCGCACTCTCCAAAAACTTGGAGTTTCAGGCTCTGCACTTTCCCTCCTCACCTCATACCTGAAAGACCGTACCTACAGGGTGACTTGGAGAGGGTCTGAGTCCGACCCTTGTCAATTAACTACAGGGGTCCCTCAGGGCTCTGTTCTTGGTCCCCTCCTCTTCTCCCTATACACAAACTCGCTCGGATCAGTCATTAGCCCGCATGGTTTTTCATACCACTGCTACGCTGACGACACCCAATTAATTCTGTCCTTTCCCCGCTCAGAGACCCAGGTCGTCGCACGCATCTCTGCTTGTCTAGCTGACATCTCTCAGTGGATGTCTGCTCACCACCTCAAGCTCAACCTTGACAAGACTGAGCTGCTCTTCCTTCCGGGAAAATATTGTCCCACTCTTGACCTGACAATCAACATCGGCACCTCAGTTGTTTCCCCGACTCAGACTGCAAGGAATCTGGGTGTGACCCTAGATAACAACCTGTCCTTCACTGCAAACATAGCTGCTACAACCCGTTGCTGCAGATACACGCTTTACAACATCAGGAGGATGCGTCCCCAGCTGACTCAGAAAGCGACTCAGGTTCTGGTCCAGGCTCTCGTCATCTCACGCCTAGACTACTGCAACTCCCTCCTGGCTGGTCTACCTGCATGTGCCATCCGACCTCTGCAGCTCATCCAGAATGCAGCTGCTCGTCTGGTCTTCAACCTTCCTAAATTCTCCCACACCACTCCGCTCCTCCGCTCCCTTCACTGGCTTCCGGTAACTGCTAGAATCCACTTACCACGCTGCGAATGGATCTGGCCCTTCCTACATCCAGGACATGGTTAAACCGTACACCCCAGCGCGTGCACTACGCTCTGCATCAGCCAAACGACTCGCTGCGCCCTCGCTGCGAGGGGGACCCAAGTTCCCATCAGCAAAAACACGTGGGTTTGCTATCCTGGCTCCAAGATGGTGGAATGAGCTCCGCATTGACATCAGGACGGCAGATAGCTTACACACCTTCCGGCGCAGACTGAAAACTCATCTCTTTCGACTCCACTTCGAGCGATAGAACTATTAACAAAGCACTTATATACTAATAAAGGACTGGCTTACCTAAAGCCAGTTGAGTAGCACTTGAAATGTTTGGCTCTATGAAACCTGATGTACTTTATGATTCTGTTTTCTTCAAGGTTGTGTCTTCCTGGTCGAATGTACTTATTGTAAGTCGCTTTGGATAAAAGCGTCAGCTAAATGCAATGTAATGTAAAATGTGTGTGTGTCTGTGTGTGTCTATGTGTGTGTGTGTCAGTGTGTGTGTCTATGTGTGTGTGTGTGTGTGTGTGTGTGTGTTTGTGTGTGTGTGTCTATGTGTGTGTGTGTGTGTGTGTGTGTGTGTGTGTGTGTGTGTGTCTGTGTGTGTCTATGCGTGTGTGTGTGTGTCTCTGTGCGTGTGTATGTGTGTGTGTGTGTGTGTCTCTGTGTGTGTGTGTGTGTGTGTGTGTGTGTATACGTTTTCTTCCCGATCATCCCTAACCTAAGAAGTTGCTAACACACCGTAAGAACTATTTTCTTAAATACTTTACTTAGTTTTCTTCTTTTGTTACATATTTTATTTTATATTCTTCTGCAGATCTTTAAATTCTTATTTTTTATATAAATTTTATTATAGTTTTTCTGCACATTTTAATCTAACTTCTCATGTTTATTTAAAAGGTTTTATTCTGTGTTATTTTATCTCTTTTTGAGGATATTTACTGAAACTGTTTTTTGTATTGAAAAAAAAATGGAAAAAAACCGAATTTTTGGCTTCTTCAAATTCTGACTTTTTATTAAAAATATTGACATTTTCTTCTTTCTCCAAATTCTAATTTTTTCTCCGAAAAAAATAAAAAAATAAACTGAACTTTTTCCTGAGTATCTTGACTTTTTCCAAGAATTAGGTTTTTGTTTTCTTTCAAAAAGGGTATATTTTTTTGTTTTTCACCATAATTATGGCCTATCAGTTAAACACTGAGGAAGGAGGGGACACCTGGGGAAGGAGGGGACACCTGAGGAAGGAGGGGACACCTGGGGAAGGAGGGGACACCTGGGGAAGGAGGGGACACCTGAGGAAGGAGGGGACACCTGGGGAAGGAGGGGACACTGAGGAAGGAGGGGACCCTGGGGAAGGAGGGGACACCTGGGGAAGGAGGGAACACCTGAGGAAGGAGGGGACACTGAGGAAGGAGGGGACACCTGGGGATACAATGATGTTGCTACCCATCCACTCAGAAGGTGCTGATTATTATAAGGGATTGTAAAAGTCCTATGAGCTCAATTTAGGGTTTGTTTTTAGAGATACCTGAAAACCTGAATACCTGAATACCTGAATACCTGAATACCTGTACCTGAATACCTGTATACCTGAATACCTGTATACATGAATACCTGAATACCTGAATACCTGTATGTATAACTGTATAACTGAATACCTGTATGTATACCTGTATACCTGAATACCTGTATGTATACCTGAATACCTGTATGTATACCTGTATACCTGAATACCTGTATGTATACCTGTATACCTGAATACCTGAATACCTGTAAGCATCTCATCAAAGACACCTGTGTGATGTTGACTGTATTTGATTGACAGCTGTCTCTTATCTGTGCTTCCTGTCGCGAGCCACTTTTCTCTCTGTGTGTTTTTAGGATTTCCTGCTGCTGCCCAGTTTAATTGTCTGACCTCTGGAGGCTCTATTTTTAAACATCTTGACCTTTGACCCCTCCCCCACTGCTATATTTAGTCTGGGAAACTGACAGGGATTTCCCCAACATGTGATTCTGAGACGCTCGTTTTTCACTGTTCGGACAAATGTGAGCATCTCGTGAGAAACAATGTAAAGGGTGATTTATTTCTTTATCCTCAGGGCTTTTTAACTCAAAGGGGATTTCAGAGAAACACACATATATATATATATATATATATATATATATATATATATATGTATGTATATATATATACATACAGTTTAGTTTATGATTCAGCCTTGGGTAAGACTTTTATAGTCTATGGCCATAATGCTAAACGGGAGCAAATGTTAAAAGGGGACCCAATTATCGGCCGGAGCCCGCCGCCGGAGCTAACGTAGCCCCCTGCGGCTCCGTTAGCTCCGGCCGGCGTCCCGGAGGTGGTATTCGGCGCTATAACTGGAGATCAAGGAATGCAGCGAAACGCGGACTTGGTTCGCCTGCAGCCCGCTGTAGTTTAGCTAAAGAAATGATGTTGAAAAAGCTGAACATCGCCACAATTGTTCTGCTATGTATCTGTACTTATTTTATTACTTATTAACGTGTGAATGGCAAGCATTAAGAATAACAAAAAATAGCTAATTCTCTTGCAGATTGTGAGCATGTTAGCCTAGCTTGGTAGGCTCAGCTAAATCGGGAGCTTGGAGCCCCGCCTTGTGGTTCAGCAGCAGGTCCCGCCTCGGCTCCGCCTCTTTGCCCTTACTTGGATCAGGCGGGAGTTAGACTCTGACGTCACTGTCGAGCCGTTAGTGGCCGACACTGCCTACTAATACCTCATTCACACCAACGCAACTCCGGTTCAAGCTCCGTGCTAGAGCTTTTCAGGTTCAGAACCGGCTCTTCGGTTTAGCTCCGGCTCTTTTCACACCGCCCAGAGTCCGACTGGTGCTGCGTCATTGCGTCATCGTTTGCGTCATTGCATCATCGTTTGCGTCATTGTGTCATCGTTTGCGTGCCTGCTTTATAAAGCCAAACCGCGCGGAAACCCCTCACAGCTCACACCGACAACAACAACAATGGCCGATTGTGCTCCAGCTTCCTCTGTACCTCTTCGGAAGACCAGATTCCCAGTAGGTAGCTGGTCTCTTCAGTGGACCACTGCGCCATACGCCTACTTCTACAGTACGGAAGAGGATTAGGGTCATGTGGGAAATCCTTTTTGAGATCTGACCGAAAATTAGAATTGTATTTAGCCAGAATTTTGCCTGATTTCTCAAAATTCCGAGATTTTTTCGTTTTTATCAGAATGTTAATTTTTCATAAAATCAGTTTTTTTTTCAAAGTTTTCCTCAAAATTCAGATTTAGCAAAAAATATCTGACTTTTTTCTTTTTTCTCAGAATTGTAACTTTTAAAAAAAAGATTCTCCAATTTTTTTCCCTCCAAATTCTAACTTTTTCATTTTTTTCTCAAAATTCTAACATTTCCCCCAGAATTTTGACATTTTTCTCAAAATCCAAAATTCTGTCTTTTTTTCCCCTCAAAATTCTTCCAACATTTGTTTTCCTCAGAATTCTAACTTAAATTTTTTTTCTGAATGTTTCAAAAAGTTCACTAAATATTTTGTTGACTTTGTTGACTGAAGTTTTCACTTTTTCTCAGAACTGTATTTTTTCTCAAAAAAAATCTGACTCTTCTTTTTATCAGAATTTTGACTAATAATTAATATAATTTGCTTTGCAGAGTTCTTGGAGCGAGCTCGCCTCCTTGTGGAAACTCCATCACTGTCAGTACAGATTTATCTGCAGTAATACAGCTCTGAAACAAATTAAGAAACCACTGCAGCATTATCAGTCTCTCTGGTTTCAATATTTATTGGCATGTGTGTGATTAAAGAAAACATCTGAGTGATCTCCTAATTATTTCCAGAGCTGTTCATGGCTACAATTCTCTTTTGCCCCCGGAGCTGCAGTACCACCGTTTGGCCACTCCCAACATACCCTAAATAAACCATCTTCAAAGGGGGGCGCTGTTCCTAAGAAATCGACGCTGAGCGGCAAACCGGATACGGAAGCACCCTGTTGTTTTCTGTTGTCTGTGTTCCTCCCCTCTCGCCTCTCTCCAGGTAAAGGAGCTTTACAGGTGATAAATGGAGCATAAACTGATCGTAGCGGTGTCTGGATTCCCTTCTCTGTACGACAGCGGCTCTCTGACCTACAGAGACCTGAATATGAGAGCTGAATCCTGGCGGCAAGTCTCTCAGATCGTCGGTGTTCCCGGTAAGAGCTCCGTTTAAACCGTTTCAACCGCTAACGATGACCGTTTCTGTCACAGATTCACCCCAAAAGAAGCAGCTTTACCGTGGCTGTGAAACGAGAGTCTATTGGATAATTTAACTTCAACAGTTTCTGTCAAATCTGATGTTTTAAAGATCAAAACAAAGGAGGGTGCGCATCCTAATACCGTCCGACTCCTGTGGTTCATAGCCACATTGGTTCCTACTTATCCTTATAAACACCTCACAGACACAACGTTTTATTTAAAAAACATGTTATTTACTAAAACAGCTGGTAATATATAATTACATGTATGATTTCGAGTACAAGTACATGATGTAAATTCAGCTAAATGTACTTTATTTAAAGGTCCCATGTCATGGCCATTTCTACTGATCATAGAATCATTGTTGAGGTCTTCTAGAATAGATTTATACTGTGCAATGTTCCAAACTCACATTGGTGTATCATACAGCATCTCTGTGTGTAGTGTAGTCACTCTCTGTCCTATACGGCTTGTTGGACCCCCCCTCCCCCCTATGAGCCCAGTGGCAACGGAGCTGTAGCTGAGAAAAGATTGAGTGTGTGTGTGTGAGGAAGTCCGTGGATTGGTCCATTCCAATCCACGGACTTAACGTAACGGCTCCACAGATTGGGTCCATTTGGGTATGGTCACGTCACTGTACCCACAGGAAGAAAAAGAGAAATGTCCAACGAGGCGTTCTGGGGCAGCATAGACAGGTCTTTTCTGTGTTAGAGTTTCAGACACATTTCAGACTTGAACTGACCATTAAAGTATTATCGTATCGTATAACGAAGCTTTGGATTAAATGTGTAATCGTGTCTCCTCAGAGTTTGAGTGCCGGAGGAAGTGGAAGACGTTGAGGGATCAGCACCGGAGGGAGAGGCAGCGGGAAAAGGAACGTCGAGAGAGCGGCATCGGGCTCTTTAACTACCGGCCCTGGAGATACTCGGCCATCTTGTCCTTCCTGAACCCCTTCATCGATGCTCGAGCAGCGGGAACTAACGGCTGGGCTCTGGACCCTCAGCCCTCCATGTTCATCTCCTCAGAGACCGGCTGCAGCACCACCACGGAGACACGCAGCGACGACGACGACGAGCACTACGGTGCGTATACATTAACAAAGATGTATTTGTCATAGAGCTTTTATTTTGAAAAAAAATCATGAATTTTCTTTAGGGATATATTACACTATGGAGCTTTTATTTTGAAAAACAAGGAAAATCCTGTCCCTCATGTTGGGATACAGTTTCTTTATGGCGCTTTTATTGTGAAAAACGTGCATCTCCCTGAGCTTCCTGTAAGCGCACAGTAACTCCCTGGAGCTTTTATTTTGAAAAACAAGGCTCATCCTGTCCCTCATGTAGGGATTAGGAATGCCAGAAACTGACCATCAAATTCGAAAATTGGACAGCCCTGGCGAATATTAATCAATGATTCGCCGCTCATCCTGTCCTCATGTTGGGATGCAGTTACTTTATGGCGCTCTTAGTTTGAAAACCGCGCTAATCTTAAACTTCCTGAAAGGATACACTAACTCAATGGAGCTTTTATTTTGAAAAACATGCCTAATCCTGAGTTTTCTTTGAGGCTAAAGTTACACTATGGAGCTTTTATTTTGAAAAACAAGGCTCATCCTGTCCTCATGTTGGAAAACAGTTACTTTATGGAGTTTTATTTTGAAAAACAAGCCTCTTCCTGAGCTTCCCGTAAGCATACAGTATCTCCATGGAGCGTTTATTTTGAAAAAAAAAGTCTCTTCCTGAGCTCCCTGAAAGGATACACTGGCCATTTCTCAATCGTGAGGATGCTTGCTTGGTAGCACTTGTCTTCCGAGTCACTTGCTTCAGAAGCTAGGCAAGAATCCTTCCTGGCATTCGGAAAACGAAGAGTGGAACAGGCTAGCAAGTGTGCAGGTGTGCGTCATATGAGGCCCCGCCTTACATTTTCCGCCACAGATTTGGGGAAATTGGTCCGTGCGCAAAGCATTGTGGGGATTTGAAGGACGCGAAGTCTACCCATGTGCAGCCTCGAAATTACCCCCAAACCAAGGACGCAGCCTCGGTGGAATTCCAAGTATGCTGGAGATTGGAACAGTCCTTCGGCGGTACTCGATGACGTAGCATCCTTGAAATATTGGCTTGGAAGCCAGAATCCTCGAGATTGAGAAAGGGCCACTAACTCCCTGGAGCTTTTATTTTGAAAAACAAGGCTCATCCTGTCCTCATGTTGGGATGCAGTTACTTTATGGCGCTTTTAGTTTGAAAAGACGCTTAATCCTAAACTCCCTTGAAGGATACACTAACTCCATGGAGCTTTTATTTTGAAAAACATGCCGTTTATGTGATATTCTTCTTGATCACAGCTGCGGGATGAGTAATTAAATATGAATTCTTTATCTTTTTTTCTCAGATATCTCTGTAGGCGACGCTACGACCACCACAACATCGTCTCCTTCCTCTGAATTCGTGCAGAGGAAACGACCGTCATCCGACACGGGAGACGACTTCAGATTCAAAGAAGCCAAGATGGAGGGCAGCGCCGAGAAAAACGATTGTGCTCAAACGCAACAGCAGCAGCACGACAACATGAAGGAGCTTTTTGAGATGATGATGCATTCAGTGAGTTCTTTAGCTGCGTCGATAGCATCTTCACACCCTTCCTCCTCCTCTTCATCATCGTTGGATCAGCCTACCTTGAACCATCACCTGAAAACGGAGAATCAGGAGGCGGAGCTTCTGGTGCTGAGCGACGACGAAGGAGAGGAGGCAAGTTTATTCATATATCACAACATTAAGAGCATTTAGGAAATAGTGCAGCCTGTTCCTGAGCTGACTGAAACAATAACACAAATACATGTAAAGTAATAAAGATGGAAAGACCAATTTAAAAGGGGATGTCGCTAATACAACTATAGCTAACTCTAACTAGTAGGTGTTGGTAGCAGTGACTGTATTGTTGCTTTATGGGGCTTTTATTTTGAAAAAAACATGCCTCGTTAAGCTTCCTGAAAGGATACAGTAACTCCATTGGGGCTTTTATTTAGAAAAGCATTCCTAATCCAGAGTACAATAACTCCATTGGGTTTTATTTTGAAAAACAAGACTCATGTTGACTTTCCTGTTGGGATAGAGCAGAGCAGGGTTGCGGTTGTCACTACCCGATCTGCAGCTCTGCCCGATCTGCAGTGCGCATGTGCGAGATGGTCCGCCATATTGGACAACTCCGGACGGCAACCCAAGTAGGACAACATTAACACAGTGGCTTTTGGCAAAGCTCAAAAGGAAAACTCGAGAGAGAGATGAGTTATTGTTATTACAACGTGACTTCACTATTATTTAACAACTCTTTTTATTGGGTTCTTTTATTTGGGGTTAAGTACATTGTCAGAATAAGTGAGAAATGAATTTAACTTCTGTTAGACAGCTATCATACTGAATACATATTTACTGTGAATGTATGCAAAAATGTATGGCATATAGCTGTCTAACAGAAGTTAAATCCACTTCTCACTTATTCTGACAATGTACTTAACCCCAAATAAAAGAACCCAATAAAAAGAGTTGTTAAATAATAGTGAAGTCACGTTGTAATAACAATACCTCATCCCTCTCGGTTTTTCTTTTTGAGCTTTGCTAAAAGCCACTGTGTCAAATGTCCTACTTGGGTTGCCGTCCGGAGTTGTCCAATATGGCGGACCATCTCGCACATGCGCACTGCAGATCGGGCAGAGCTGCAGATCGGGTAGTGACAGCGGTCGAATGACCCGGAAGTCCCTCAGTGGCAGCCATGATAAGTGCCGTTCGAATTCTCTAGATGATAGGAAAGGAGGTTTCAAGCTTCCTTTATCACCTCCTTTAGCTTAGGAACCACTGGACCTCCCTAACCGAAAGGAGGAGAAAATGCTGCCCCACAATGCATTGCAGCATTTGCCGTCACTCAACAGTCAGCCGTTCACAGAAACAACCGATTATGACGGAGAAATGATATCATGAAAGTTACGGTGCTTATTAAGCTAAACGTATGTGGTAAGTTGCCAAAGTGCTTTGTTCTGAACGTTCATCAGTATTATAATCAAAGAGAGAAATATGAACGTTAGTTTTTACTGAAATGATCAAATAAAGTCAACATCTCTCAGTCTTTACTGAGCTGTGGGGTTTGTTCAACTTTTAAAAGATGTTTGAACGGTGATATACACAGTGATTGTCAAGTTGTGATTGGGTTTGATTGACTTCTGCTTAAACTTGAAAAATGTCTTGATTCTTTCCAGAAGGACAGACGGGACAAGACTTGAATCTTTTCCTCTTTATTTGAGTGATGCAGATTCCTTTTTGCTTCATTCAGCCTCCTCTTAGCCTCCTGATGCTCATTCAGTCGTTCAGTCGTTCAGTCGTTCAGTCGTTCAGTCGTTCAGTCGTTCAGTCGTTCAGTCATTTAGTCATTTCAGTCATTTAGTCATTCAGTCATTCAGTCTTTTAGTCATTCAGTCATTCAGTCATTCAGTCATTCAGTCGTTCAGTCGTTCAGTCGTTCAGTCTTTCAGTCGTTCAGTCGTTCAGTCGTTCAGTCGTTCAGTCTTTCAGTCGTTCAGTCATTCAGTCATTCAGTCATTCAGTCTTTCAGTCATTCAGTCATTCAGTCATTCAGTCATTTAGTCATTCAGTCATTCAGTCATTTAGTCATTCAGTCATTTAGTCATTCAGTCATTTAGTCATTCAGTCATTTAGTCATTCAGTCGTTCAGTCATTTAGTCATTCAGTCATTTAGTCATTCAGTCATTCAGTCATTTAGTCAGTCATTTAGTCATTTAGTCATTTAGTCATTCAGTCATTCAGTCATTTAGTCAGTCATTCAGTCGTTCAGTCATTCAGTCATTTAGTCATTCAGTCGTCATTCAGTCAGTCATTTAGTCATTCAGTCATTTAGTCATTCAGTCATTTAGTCAGTCATTCAGTCATTTAGTCATTCAGTCATTTAGTCATTCAGTCGTTCAGTCATTTAGTCATTCAGTCATTTAGTCATTCAGTCATTTAGTCAGTCATTTAGTCATTTAGTCATTTAGTCATTTAGTCATTCAGTCATTTAGTCATTTAGTCATTCAGTCATTTAGTCGTTCATTCAGTCATTCAGTCATTCAATCATTCAGTCATTTAGTCATTCAGTCATTTAGTCATTCAGTCATTTAGTCATTTAGTCATTTAGTCATTCAGTCGTTCAGTCATTTAGTCATTCAGTCGTTCAGTCATTTAGTCATTCAGTCATTTAGTCATTCAGTCATTCAGTCATTTAGTCATTCAGTCATTTAGTCATTCAGTCATTTAGTCAGTCATTCAGTCATTCAGTCATTCAGTCATTTAGTCATTCAGTCATTTAGTCAGTCGTTCAGTCGTTCAGTCATTCAGTCGTTCAGTCGTTCAGTCGTTCAGTCGTTTAGTCGTTTAGTCGTTCAGTCATTTAGTCATTTAGTCATTCAGTCATTCAGTCATTTAGTCATTCAGTCATTCAGTCATTCAGTCAATCAGTCATTTAGTCATTCAGTCATTTAGTCATTCAGTCATTTAGTCATTCAGTCATTCAGTCATTTAGTCATTCAGTCGTTTAGTCGTTCAGTCATTCAGTCATTCAGTCGTTCAGTCGTTTAGTCGTTCAGTCGTTTAGTCGTTTAGTCATTCAGTCATTTAGTCAGTCATTTAGTCATTCAGTCATTCAGTCATTTAGTTAGTCATTTAGTCATTCAGTCATTTAGTCATTCAGTCATTTAGTCAGTCATTTAGTCATTCAGTCATTCAGTCATTTAGTTAGTCATTTAGTCATTCAGTCATTTAGTCGTTCAGTCATTTAGTCATTCAGTCATTTAGTCATTCAGTCATTTAGTCAGTCATTCAGTCATTCAGTCATTTAGTCATTCAGTCGTTCAGTCATTTAGTCATTTAGTCATTCAGTCATTTAGTCATTCAGTCATTTAGTCATTCAGTCATTTAGTCATTCAGTCATTTAGTCATTCAGTCATTTAGTCAGTCATTCAGTCATTCAGTCATTCAGTCATTCAGTCATTTAGTCATTCAGTCATTTAGTCATTCAGTCATTTAGTCAGTCATTCAGTCGTTCAGTCATTCAGTCGTTCAGTCGTTCAGTCGTTCAGTCGTTCAGTCGTTCAGTCGTTTAGTCGTTTAGTCGTTCAGTCATTTAGTCATTTAGTCATTCAGTCATTCAGTCATTTAGTCATTCAGTCATTCAGTCATTCAGTCATTCAGTCATTCAGTCATTTAGTCATTCAGTCATTCAGTCGTTCAGTCATTTAGTCAGTCGTTTAGTCGTTCAGTCATTTAGTCAGTCGTTTAGTCGTTCAGTCATTCAGTCGTTCAGTCATTCAGTCGTTCAGTCGTTCAGTCGTTCAGTCGTTCAGTCATTCAGTCGTTCAGTCATTTAGTCATTCAGTCATTCAGTCGTTCAGTCATTTAGTCATTCATTCAGTCATTCAGTCGTTTAGTCATTTAGTCATTTAGTCATTCAGTCATTCAGTCGTTCAGTCATTTAGTCATTCATTCAGTCATTCAGTCATTCAGTCGTTTAGTCATTTAGTCATTTAGTCATTCAGTCGTTCAGTCATTCAGTCGTTCAGTCATTTAGTCATTCAGTCATTCAGTCGTTCAGTCATTTAGTCATTCATTCAGTCATTCAGTCGTTCAGTCATTTAGTCATTCATTCAGTCATTCAGTCGTTCAGTCATTTAGTCATTCAGTCATTCAGTCGTTTAGTCATTTAGTCATTTAGTCATTCAGTCGTTCAGTCATTCAGTCGTTCAGTCATTTAGTCATTCAGTCATTCAGTCGTTCAGTCATTTAGTCATTCATTCAGTCATTCAGTCGTTCAGTCATTTAGTCATTCATTCAGTCATTCAGTCAGTCAGTCATTTAGTCATTCATTCAGTCATTCAGTCATTCAGTCATTTAGTCATTCAGTCATTCAGTCGTTCAGTCATTTAGTCATTCATTCAGTCATTCAGTCGTTTAGTCATTTAGTCATTCAGTCATTCAGTCGTTCAGTCATTTAGTCATTCAGTCATTCAGTCGTTCAGTCATTTAGTCATTCATTCAGTCATTCAGTCGTTCAGTCATTTAGTCATTCAGTCATTCAGTCGTTCAGTCATTTAGTCATTCATTCAGTCATTTAGTCATTCAGTCGTTCAGTCATTTAGTCATTCAGTCATTCAGTCATTCAGTCGTTCAGGTTGAAAACCTTTAACACAAAACATATTTTCATTCATTTTAGGCAAACAAACATTTCAATAAAAAACATGCCATCCTTTAACAAGCACTTTGTTTCCTGCTCCATAATCAAGTTACAATTAAACTTAACATCTAATCAAAAGTAACTGCATCTCAACAAAGTACATTATATTCCAGCCTCTTATTTTAGCTTCTTACTTAAGACCAGAAATAATAATACATGTAATCAAACATGGTTCAACCAGTTCTCTATCTCGCCTCTAATATCAGGAAGATCCGATCCTCATCCTGAGAGAAGACAGTAAGAGACCTAGAATCTGACTCTCTCCTCTCCTCTACTCTCCTCTACCTCTCCTCTCCTCTCCTCTCCTCCTCTCCTCTGCCTCTCAGTGGAACACAAGGACCCTAGGCTCCCGTCTCCACCTGCTGGAACTGGAAGCTCAGATGTCAGAATGGGGCCTCTGACCAACAACAGTGATAGAAGTTTAAGGACGAACGTTTTGATAATAAATACATCTGTAATTGATTAAGATCTTTCATGAATCATACGTATTGGGATCATTTGTATTAATGAGGACCGGAGGGAGAGGGGGACGAGCAGAAGTTTCACTTTCCTTTGTATTTCAATTCCAGCTTTGGTCCTGAAGAATCTGTTTCTCTGTTGTCCCCGTTCATAAAGCATAAAGCAACAGCGTCAGAGCACAGAGTCTCTAGATGAGTTCACAGGAGTCCCTCGTTCTTATTGAACATCCATGTTGTAGTCCTCTGTATAGAGAACTGTAGTCTCCATAGTTTCCCCACAGCAGCAGACGCTCATTCAGGACGTCCGCTGGCGCATCAGAAACACGTGGGATAGTGAAAGTGCAGTCGATTCTCTAAAGTACCGCAGTCTCTTCTCCTAAGTCCTTTTGAGTTCTCCTATCCACTATCCCTTAACCCCGTGACCTTTCACTCAGAGGAGAGGAATAGGAGATAGGGTTAGAATTTAGGAGCTGATTTTTGGATTATCGGAACGCAACCCCGGGGTCTGCGGCCCGTCGGCCATTTTGAATTGGCCCTCTGCAAATTAAAAAATGATAATGGAATACGGCCCACAGCTACATTTTGCTAACTTATAACTGAACTTACGAGGCGATAAACTTCTAGTGAGCGGTCCAGCGCTTCGTATATTTGTGGCCCTCGGGGAAGAAAGTTCTGACACCGCTGCTTTAAATGCTTCATAAACCAGTATTTTGATGTTCTTCAACAGACAGACAGCCAGTGCCGAGAGCTCAGATCTGGAGGTGTGTCTCGGGAGGATCATCCGAGGGTCAAGAGGAGGGGCGAGGCCCTGCTGGAGGACCATCTGAGGAGGACGGAGGCCCGCGAGGCTCAAAAAGACGATGTGACGCTGTTTCTCCTGAGTTTAGCCCCCGCTCTGAGGAGACTGACCCCACAGAAACAATCCTGGGTCAGAACCAAGATCCAGCAGTTCCTCCACGAAGCTGAGTTCGGTGCCACCAGCTTTCAGTGAAATATATTGTATATGTTTATATGCTGTATGGCCGGGGGGTCCGCTTTCTACGATTTCATTTTATATCGACCCTCAGCCATTTAAGAAAGTATAATGTAATATGGCCTGTAAGGGAAACTTCTGTAGCAATGGAGAGTCAGGACTCAGAGAGACACGAGGAGAGCTGGAGCTTTGATGTCAAACACTGATGGGTTTATTTACGAGCCTCGGCCGGAGAATTCACAAGACATGTCACACAGTCAGAGGTTCTGACCACACGGTTGAGATGCCACGACAATTCTGAAGAACTCTACCCCAGACCCCTGTATTTAGCTAGTTCAGAGAGAATAATCAACATTGGGCATAACAAGATAGAACCATAACACCTCTATCAGCTGACGCACACAGGCATGAGCAGGGAGACACTGAGAGCACAGCAGCCAAGATTACAAGTGCGTGTGCTCAGTCAGGACAGCTTGACCCGACAAACTGGGAAAATATTTCCCCAACATGGCCCACAAATGAAACTTCTCTATTGTACTTCTTAAATATATATGTTCAAATATATGACACAGTAGCTGAATAAAACCCTATGGAGAGCTGTGATGTTGTAATTTACCTACGTTTTAAAGATTTTTCTAACTTATAACTGAACTTACGAGGCGATATAACTCTAGTGAGCGGCCCAGCCCGCCGAATATATTTCTGTGTGTGGCCATCGGGGAAAAAAGTTTGACACCCCTGTTGTATGGACTAGGGTTGCACAATCAATCAATCAATGTGTATTTATACAGCCCAATATCACACATTTTCTCCATTTCTCTGAGGGCTTTTCAGTTTTGACACAATATGAAGACGACACCCTCTGTCCTTAGACTCCAAATCCAAATGTCCAAATATTATCGCAATAGGGTGGTATTTCTATTTCTGTGTTGGTCCCTGAAGGCAGCACCGTTTATAATAAGCCATTTTGAATCATTGCAGAAAATAATCTCAACATTTATGATTCTTACACCTTTAGTTTAGCAGGATAATCTCTACATATTAACAACACTTTATGATTTATGAAGTAAAAAGCTAATGTTGGACTATAAAGGAACTACAGCACGGTCACATGACTTCACGTCACCACCGCTAAGCTAAAGGTGGCTAATGTTGGGCTATAAAGGAACTACAGCACGGTCACATGACTTCAGGTCACCACCGCTAAGCTAAAGGCGGCTAATGTTGTACATGATGGCGTTAAGTCATGTTATTTAGACACTTGTTAGCAACAACAGACCTAAGGTGGTGAAGAAAGTAAACTATTTATTTTCTCCATTTGCAGAAATGTTCAAACATAAAGAAATATGTGTTGAAGTTCATCTTTTGAATGAAGTGTTGTGCAGTTGCAGATATACTCCAGCCTACAAAATGATTGTAAAATCCTTGTTAATACAGATCCTCCACCATAATCATTCATTTCCTGTAATATCATGAATCGTATCCTAATTACAATTTCAGTCAGAAGAATCACAATTGGATATTTTCCCAAGCTGTGCAGCCTTAGTGTGAATCACATATTTGCTGACTTTATGAAAAATATACCTCCCTATAAAGGAGTTTTCATGATATTGTACCGTCTTCTTTACCATGTTTTTGTGCTGTTTTTAATAAAAACAATTCCTCTTCTGGCTGTATTTTATATTACGATATATCAGACTGAGAAATCCTTTATTTATCACACAGCAGGGACATTATTAAAGCCAGTGGTGTAAAGTAAGTAGATTTACTCAGGTATTTGTACTTTACTCGAGTATTTCCAAGGTATGCTACTTTGTACTTTTACTCCACTATGTATTAATAATGCATTTAGTTATATATTTGCTTTTTAATATATTTTACATTTGTATTATTTTAATTATTAATGTTTTATTATAATTATTATAGTGTTTTCAGTTTCTGAGAAACACTTCCTTACTGGCTAAATTACGGTATTACACTTAAACCGGCCTTCATCCGGGTCTTTTGGTCACCTGATCAAAACACGGAAGTAGGTTTTTTGAATTTCTCCTGATACATCCATGGAGAAAACCTGCTCGAAAAATCGACAAAACCTCCACTCTAAATCTAAGGATTTATGAACCGTTTTAACATCTAGTTTCAGGGGGCCTGTGGAATTGCCAGTCAGCTGTTCCTAAGGCTGACTTCATCTCTGGCTACGCCTCCCTGCAGTCTCTGGATTTCCTTGCTCTCACTGAGACCTGGATTACTCCATCCAACACATCCACCCCAGCAGCTCTCTCCACTGCATATTCCTTCTCCCATACACCCAGACCCACTGGCAGAGGAGGTGGCACTGGTCTCCTGCTCTCTCCCAAATGGAGCTTTTCCCTCTTCAAGCTACCTAACTTTACTCCTTCCACCTTTGAATTCCATGCCGTCACAGTAACCCATCCTATACAGTTAACCATTGTTGTTCTCTACCGTCCACCAGGCGCCTTGGGGGACTTCTTGGAGGAATTAGATCATCTCCTTTCACACATCCCTGAAACCGGTCCTCCCGCTGTACTTCTCGGAGACTTCAACCTCCAGACAGGGAAGATAGACGAACTAACATCTCTGTTAACCGCCTTTGCTTTCTCACTCTCTCCGTCCCCACCGACTCATAAAGCTGGCAATGTCCTTGATCTCATATTCTCAAGGAACTGCGCTACTTCTAACCTCTCTGTAAACCCGCTCCACACATCCGATCACTTCTTCATTTCATTCTCTCTACCCCTTTCCAAACATAACAAACTAATCTCTTCTCATCCTGCACCTGTCCGCCGTAACCTTCGTTCCCTCTCCCCCTCTACCTTTGCCTCATCGGTGCTCTCAGCCCTCCCTTCCTCGGACTCGTTCCAACTCCTACCTCCAAACTCTGCTGCAGAAACTCTCCTCTCTACTCTCTCATCCACTCTGGACTCTCTCTGTCCTCTCACATCTCGGCAGGCTCGTCAGTCCCCTCCGGCTCCCTGGCTAAATGATGCACTGCGTGCTAATAGAACCGTCCTTAGGGCAGCAGAGCGGAAACGGTGGAAATCCAAACACCGTGACGACCTCCTAACCTATCAGGCTCTCCTCTTTCTCTGCTTCGATCTCTCAGGCAAAAAGCACTTTCTTTCAAGATAAGATCCAATCTTCCTATTCCAATCCCAAAAAACTATTTTCCATCTTCTCCACCCTCTTGGACCCCCCAAAAGCCCCTCCCCCTCCTCACTTCTGTCAAGCGACTTTGTTACCCACTTTGAAAAAAAGGTTGATGATATTCGCTCTTCTTTTTCTGACTCACCTTTACTCACCGCTGGGTCACCAGACCCTCCTTCCACCAACACACTTACCTCCTTTTCCCCTCTCTCTCCAAGTGAGGTTCTTACCCTCATTACCTCTGCCCGCCCTACCACCTGTCCTCTGGACCCTATCCCTTCAAACCTCCTTCAGACTATCGCTCCTGATATTCTACCGTTTCTCACCCATTTCATCAACACTTCTCTAACTTCTGGTCACTTTCCAAACAGTCTCAAGGAGGCAAGAGTAAACCCTGTCCTAAAGAAACCCACTCTCAACCCGTCTGATGTTATAAACTACAGGCCTGTCTCTCTCCTCCCGTTCCTGTCTAACACACTTTAAACAACTCTCCTGTTATCTACATCAGAACAACCTTCTGGATCCGCACCAGTCTGGTTTCAAGGCAGGTCACTCCACAGAAACTGCTCTCATTGCTGTCACGGAGGAACTGCACACTGCCAAAACTGCATCCCTCTCCTCTGTCATCATCCTGTTGGACCTGTCTGCTGCATTCGACACGGTGAATCATCAGATCCTCCTTCGCACTCTCCAAAAACTTGGAGTTTCAGGCTCTGCACTTTCCCTCCTCACCTCATACCTGAAAGACCGTACCTACAGGGTGACTTGGAGAGGGTCTGAGTCCGACCCTTGTCAATTAACTACAGGGGTCCCTCAGGGCTCTGTTCTTGGTCCCCTCCTCTTCTCCTTGTACACAAACTCGCTCGGATCAGTCATTAGCCCGCATGGTTTTTCTTACCACTGCTACGCTGACGACACCCAATTAATTCTGTCCTTCCCCCGCTCAGAGACCCAGGTCGTCGCACGCATCTCTGCTTGTCTAGCTGACATCTCTCAGTGGATGTCTGCTCACCACCTCAAGCTCAACCTTGACAAGACTGAGCTGCTCTTCCTCCCGGGAAAAGATTGTCCCACTCTTGACCTAACAATCAACATCGGCACCTCAGTTGTTTCCCCGACTCAGACTGCAAGGAATCTGGGTGTGACCCTAGATAACAACCTGTCCTTCACTGCAAACATCGCTGCTACAACCCGTTGCTGCAGATACACGCTTTACAACATCAGGAGGATGCGTCCCCAGCTGACCCAGAAAGCCACGCAGGTTCTGGTCCAGGCTCTCGTCATCTCACGCCTAGACTACTGCAACTCCCTCCTGGCTGGTCTACCTGCATGTGCCATCCGACCTCTGCAGCTCATCCAGAATGCAGCGGCTCGTCTGGTCTTCAACCTTCCTAAATGTTCCCACACCACTCCGCTCCTCCGCTCCCTTCACTGGCTTCCAGTAACTGCTAGAATCCACTTCAAGACACTGGTACTTGCGTACCATGCTGCGAATGGATCTGGCCCTTCCTACATCCAGGACATGGTTAAACCGTACACCCCAGCGCGTGCACTCCGCTCTGCATCAGCCAAACGACTCGTTGCGCCCTCGCTGCGAGGGGGACCCAAGTTCCCATCAGCAGAAACACGTGGGTTTGCACTCCTGGCTCCAAAATGGTGGAATGAGCTCCCCATTGACATCAGGACAGCAGAAAGCTTACACACCTTCCAGACTGAAAACTCATCTCTTTCGACTCCACTTCGAGCGATAGAACTATTAACAAAGCACTTATATACTAACAAAGGACTGGCTTACCTAAAGCCAGTTGAGTAGCACTTGAAATGTTTGGCTCTATGAAACCTGATGTACTTTATGATTCTGTTTTCTTCAAGGTTGTCTTCCTGGTCGAATGTACTTATTGTAAGTCACTTTGGATAAAAGCGTCAGCTAAATGTAATATAATGTAATATATGAAATAACAAGTAACTTAATCTGTAAAATACATGTAGGGGAGTAAAAAGTGCAAATGTGGGGTTTTAAAATGTAGTATTGTAGAAGTGTAGAGTAGTACAACATGGTAATACTCTTTGTTACGTTCCCTCCTGGACTAGGGGTACAAAGGGAAGTAGCAAAATATAAAATAACCGGGCGAGAGAAAAAAGGAGAGGAAACTGACTCTGAAGCCACAAGATGATCTTTTAATTACTAAAAGAAAAAGAGGGCTCACCAGCCAATTTGCAAACTTACGACAAACCAAAACAACTTTCTCATAACAGAAAGCGACCACAGTAAATCATAACGCTACTCAGAACTTCTACAAGTTGCATTTCTCACGTAGACAACAACAAAACATGACACTGCTGCACAGATCATACACTGCCATCCATGCAGCTCACAGGAGAAGGAGAGAGAGACTGCAGCCTTCCTCAGGTCCTTTATGGAGGCTCTGATTGGGGATTGGGAGCACCTGAGGGAGAGGCTGCACCTGGAGGGAGACAATCAGGGGGAGAGAGACACACAAACACCTACACACAAGCAGCCACTACTTAACACTCTTACAAGTACGTCCAATGTGTACTTAAATACAGTAAATGTACTTGGTTACTTTACACCTATGCTTTTTACTTTTGACCCCAGTAGTTATTGTTATTATGATTCCTCAGGAGCTGCAAGGCAAGGCCAGTTTATTTATACAGCACCTTTCCACATAAGGCAATTCAAAGTGCTTTACAAAAGACATTAAGAGCAAAAAACACATCAGAAACATTAAAAAGCACAGATAATAAAACATGAGTAACACATACATGAATAAAAGTTACAGTGTGAGATGTGAAGAGTTCAATTTAAAGCAGAGGCAAAAAGGAAAGTCTTCAGCCTGGATTTCAAAGTAGTCAGAGTTGCAGCGGACCTGCAGGTTTCTGGGAGTTTGTTCCAGATATTTGGAAATATCCAGAACCAAATTCTCACATCCCTCTACCTCTAGTCTTCCCGTGAAGTTATAGTTCTTTTGACACTTTTCTAACCTTTATATATTCCCTTCATCCCCAGACAACACATTGTCCCTGTTTTACTGTTACCCGATCCCATCTTTGACCTTTAAACCCCCCGCAGGTGATGGAGAAGGTGTTTCACTCTGCAGGCCGTCATGGTTACGCTACCCATGTGATCATACACATACTGGAAGAAGTGCACACTACAGGCCTCATCAAAACAACTTTTTCCTACTGAAGAAACGGCGGTACTGCAACTCAGTCCGTGACGTCACCCGGCCCAAAACAACTTTTCCCATCGACTAACATCGGGAAAGAGACGTCTGTAAATCGGTGGATAATTTTTAACTAAATAAACTACCCAGTATGAACTATGTTATAACCCTTATTAGAATCTTTTTTTTTTTTTTATTCTACTAAAAACATACAAAAACGTATAATTCATACACACAAATGAACAAAATTAGTAGAAGCGGGAGGGCTATTATAATCATTCGGTCCTTAAAGTTCTAAAATGCACTAAAAGCCGAAT